TCGCGAGGAAATATATATAATCATCCATTATAAATTTCATTGTTCGTTCGTTGAAGAGGCCGAGGGTTGCACGGCGCTCCGTTGGGAAAAGTGGGGAGAGCATTTCGATGCTTATTTAGTGTGGAAAGACGTAGCAGACCACGAAGAAAAATACAAATCCTTGATGCTATTCGGAGGACCGGATGTCCGGAAGATAATCTCCAAGATACAAGCGAAGATGAACATGTTCTTGGAAACCGGTACAACGTGGCGATGACACCCGGTCCGAATGAGAAACTAAGTTTCTCATTCGGACCGGGTGTAGGTCGCCTGCTTTTTTAAACGAACAACAAAATTTGTTGTATCAAGTCTTGATACATTTGTTGTTCGTTTAAAAAAGCAGGCGACATAAATACTGCGATTACGGTGATCAAGCAGACAACATGGTTGTAGACCAAATAATTGCTACTACAAAAGACGTGCAGCTTTGACGGAAATGGTTGGAAAAGTATTACACTCTAAACCAGGTTTTAGCAATAAGCCGCAGCCACGAGTCAGTTGACCTTCAACTTGCTGTATGGGAAACTATCGGAAAACCCAATGCAGACACGGATAAAACTAGAACTGACCTAGGTGAAGAATCCATATATAAAATCAACGCCGAGAGGAAGTTTCGAAACCGACCACGCTGTGTCCGGTGCGACAGTAGGGTGCTTCATTCTGAAAAAAGTGATGAATTTCTGATGGGCCACCCTCCAGTTCGATTCATAGCCCCAAAATATGAACCTGTGCAAAAATTGGTAAAGATTGATGAAGGTTTAGAGGTCGCACCAATGATTTGAAATTTGTATGGGAATTACTATGGAAGAATTTAAAAAATCGCTTATATCGCTATAACTTTGCTTCTACTTGTCCAAATGTCGAAAAAATTTAGTATGTTATTGCTATGGCAATAAACAAAAAGCCTACAGTTGCTACGCTCAGTTTTGCAGCGTATCAAGAATTATAAAAATGTGAAAAAATGGCAAAATAGGGTAAATTGACAGATGAATATGTACAAGGCAACAACGCCAATTTCATCGCAACAACAACAGGCTTGTTGATCATTGTCATGACAACCACATATTTTTTTTTTCAACGTTTGGACAACTACAACCAAAGTTAGAGCAATGTAAACGAAAATCAATAATTTCCCATACTAATTCACCAAAATCTCCATACAAAATCCAAATCATTGGCGCGACCTCTAAACCTTCATCAATCTTTACCATTTTTTGCACAGGTTCATATTTTGGGGCTATGAATCGAACTGGAGGGTGGCCTATCAAAAATTCATCACTTTTTTCAAAATGAAACACCCTAGGCGACAGTCGTCATGAATCAAGCGATTCTTCGTGTCCAGCAAAATCCGAAAAATGTCGAAGCTGTGGACAAATCGGACATTTTGCACGTTGCTGTTTCCTGAAGAGGAAGCAATCAAAGCCGGTAGTATATCAACAAAAGACGAAGAAACGATTCGTTCGATTTATTGAAAATTTAGTACTGGTGCATTTTGGACAACTGAAAACTTTTTCAATAATTTCGCGTGTGTTTATTAGTGCTGTGTTTGGTTATTTAAAAAAGGATCGAAAGAGTTTTTAAGATTACCGCGAGTGAACAAACTGGGTTTTTTTTTCTTCCTTCGCCGCCGCCGTGAAACGTTGCGAAAAAGCAGATCTCTGCTGAATTTTCTAATGTACGCTGTTGAATCCTGTCCGTTTGGGTTTAGTTACAAGTGCATAACGATCCAGAAGCCGGAAGTTACAAAATAAGTCCAGGAGGTAACGGTGATATCCAGTGGAAGTAGGTTAAAATCGTACGTGCAAATTATCTCCTGCAAAGTGCTGCTGTCTGCAAGTCAAAATGGGCGCGTATCTATCTTAACCACTCACAACGAAGGATTCGAGCGAGGAGGCAAATGATTTGCTTGCTTGCGGTTCCAGCTCGATGCAAGGCTGGCGGATCAGCCAGGAGTAGTAGTTTGTAGTGAAAGAAATGCTCTCCATCTCATCACTAAACATAACCACGAGCAATGACGAGGAACTGCATCCCAAACCCCATGATAAACAAGGAGCGGATGCATCCAACGAAACTTTTAAGCACAAAATAATCATTACCAACATAGGAAAAAATTCGGTAAGATCCTTCCATTGCATTATTTTATGATTCTTCAATATTGTACAAATACTTACATATTACACACAACTACACATAGTAACTCGGAGCGTTTGGTACGATATGGCCCCGCATCCTTCCACCCCTGTAGATTCAAGAAATGTTCCCATTCAATTCCAAGAATCATCTTTGCGGCAAATACAACGCAGTAGGCCTGGCCGTATTGATGTTTATATCATATCTCAGATATGCTGTAAACATCAATTAGACAAGAAAAATGATTAGACCTCATCTAACCTAATCATTTTCTAGGATGCTTTCTCGTACTGGCTGCGTCTAGATTAGATTAGATTAGAAAAGGCGAAGAAACGATTCGTTCAAGAAGTTCACGAAGCTACTGCTGAAAACGGAAACAACAAGGATGATGCAGTTTTCAACTTATTTCATCTTGGTGGAAAACGTACCGTCAGAATCGAAGTCGGAGGTGTGCCTTTGATGTTCATAATAAGATACTATAGATTCCATATATAAGCGGAGGCACAAAAAGTTTGTTTGACAACCATGAAAAATACATGATCTTACTGGCGTTCGTGAAAAATTTTCATGCCATTATCAAAGTTCAAAATGAAGTACAAAGCCAATCTTTGCAACAATTGGCCTTGAAGGTGACTCTGTAGCTCTTTACTCCTATGAAAAAATCCATAAGCAAACGTCAGACTGTGTGTGAAACATAGCGGACTTTGTACCATTCTTTCACTCCACCGAAAATTCCCATAAGAAACTGTCTATATTTGCTGGAAGAGGAAAATTTTCGAAGATGCCGTCAACGCCAATGAATCGAGGAGTGGTTTCCTTTTTCCGTTTTCCGCGAAATAAATCGGAATGTGGCGTATGGAAAGCGGTTTGTGGTCATAATTCGAGGGGTGCGACACATCTAAATCTAGATTTTAAATGGTCGAAAAATCTATATAATAATCATAAATCATCCACGGCCCATACAAATTTATTTTTTTTATTGTATGGACAATTGGGTTGTTTAATTTTGAAAAAAATATATCCGTTTTTATATATCATCTGCTTCGTTTTCTGAGCACAGCGATATTTTTTTCGAACCCACACAGTTTCATCTCGATTTTTAAATCAAAATAATAACTTCACTGTTTGACACTAAACTGACAAACTGACAGCTCGCTCCCATACAAAGTGACACCGAGGGGCGCTAATAAGGTGATTTTTGCAAAAGTAATTGTACTTATTTAAAATAGTTCCAGTGTACCAAAATTGATGAAATGTTGGTTTTGGGTTCCATATTTAATGCAGATTACGAATATGCATTTACCTCATTACTCTTAAGGTGATTTCTCGTAGGGTCCACAAATGACCGCCACGTAGGCTATACATGCACTTCCATTCGAATTTTTTTATTACACAAATCTTGGAAATCAGTGCTCCATTTCCTTTGATATTGCTACTTCATGTATACTGCAGTGCAGCAAACGTGGAGTAACAATTTAAATGTTGCACGTGTCGTAGAAGCTGATATGTGTGCACTTAAAGTTTCGAAGTGATTACGAGAATAAGGATGTCACAGCGAGTTACCTTAAAGAACCCAATTGTCTACGCAGGGGGAGGGGGGGCGCTTATTTCAAAGACGCCATTTGCCCATAACAAACAATTCGACAGTGAGCATGCATAAAGGCGTAAACGCGATGATCGATAGCTCGCTTGGATTAACGTTTCTCGGTGCGTTTGCTGTTGCATTTGATAGCCAATATAACCTGTTACAGCACTACATAGAACAAATTCCAAAAAATTGTTTCGCTCAGCTGTAGCAATGTAAAGAGAAAATCGATCATCGCGTTTACGCCCTTATGCATGCTCACTGTCGAATTATACACAGTTTGATGCAAATCGTAGGAGGAAGACTATTTTCAATTCGTCATTTGGCGTGCAATTGCTCAATAACCAAAAAAAAACTACTCTCTCCTATTTTGTTTTGAATACAGTAATGACCCGATTTTGTCAGCCCCCTTTTTGAAAATCTTATCTAAAGTCTACCTTAAACCGAAGACAACAAATGAAGAAGACTGGCAACTCTTCCATTTTCTCATACGAACGCTATGAGACAGGTACAATCGCGTCATCTGTCGCTCAAAGGTAAATGCTTCGAACGAATTTGATAGCAAAGATTACATCCTCAGAAGAAGGGTTTGTGTATTTGCTTATTTTTCTATGCGTTGCTTCAACCTTCTCTCAAGCGCAGCGCCATTGTATCTGCCGCTTGGATTCTGGCAAAGTTGCCAGTCTTCTTGATTTGTTGTCTTCGCTTAAACAGCAGCTGAATTGAGAAAGATTTACGGTAATTATTACGGTAATATTGAATTATTGAACGGCAAAAGTCTTATGCGAGGAAGGGCTGACAGAATCGGGTCATTACTATATCACAATACTCTAAAAACATTAGTAAAATAAACGGAGTTAGGCTATGCGCGAAATGATGGCACTTCAGGGTAGTTGGTCTCATGATGGTAATAAAGTCAACTTTCGCTCGTTGAGCTAAACCTGTAGCCCACTTACTGAAAGACTTTCATTAGTTGGGCTAAGCTGTCAAGGTGGTAATTTAGTTTGAGGGATACACCGCTTGTTTATTATCATCACAATCCTTTAGCAACTAGCCAAATTGTTCATACATGAGCCCCTAGAAAAAGAAATAGCACTGTCAAAAATGACGTTTAACTTCGATTTAGGTGGGCTACAGTCCAACTAACGGGAGCGCAACTAATACGTAGCCCACCTAAACATAGCCCAACGAGCGAAATTTGACTGTATTAATAAATTTCACACCACAAGCATTTATTTCAAACATTTGGAATCTTCATCACACAGTACAAATTCTACTTATAACATAAGCTCTGTTATGCACATAACAGTAGTCATGCAACACACCTGCTCTATAAACAATCAAAACTAGTTCTATGTCATGGACTACGGTCAAATACGATCTTTTCAACCTACTAAGATTGCCTGGCAAATTAATCACTTAAGTAAGCTGACCATTTTTGACCATTTAAGAAGGTTCAAGTCTCGTACTCTCTATTTGATGTAGGTACCTATTTGATGGCATACAATTCATAAACCCTCATTAAAAAAATGGCCTAATCATCATACATCAGCACTTTGACGATGCTATCCAACACACTCAAATCCGCCAAAATCGCCATATGCTCGGCTCCGGGAAACTCGCGCAGATATATTGGCTGCTTCTGCTGTCCACTCCAGTGCCGACATGCCTCTAGTGAACGCTTGTTAACCGTTCCATCACCATCACCATAAACCAGAGTGGGCTTACCCGTAAAGTCGTACGAGTTCTCGTAGTTGAGGCTAGAATTTCAAACACAAACAATCCGATCTCAACGAAAATCTACAGACTGATTTTATCAGGACTCTTACCTATCCACTGTGTTGATACTTGAACCATACAGACAGTGCAGTTCCACTCCAGGGGCTGTAAAATTGAGCACATACGAGAGGGTATCCTTTCTCATTTCCCAACCGTCCGTGTAATCAAGGTCTCTGGAAAACAAAACATGCAAATTGATTAAAACAATGTTCTAAAATATTGATCAAACATACTTGAAGAAATCTTCCAGTTGTTCCATGGTATAGACCCTGGACAGCGAACGAACCAACACTTCGTTCGGTTTCCAGAGCAGCGGATTCGGCATCAGCCATGCCAGTGACGGGTTGGTAATCTGCTCCGAGCGCATCACCTTTCCACTGAGGGCAAAAGCTCCCAGATCATCCCCGATGGCAAAGCATTTCAAGGCCTTTACGCTTCCGCCCCATGCGCCGGCCACGGAAATGACCCGTCGAATGTACTGATCCTTCCACTGTTGGCTTTGCATCTGCAGAAACAGCAACGTCATCGGTGCACCCATGCTGTGCACGATAAAAGTGATTGGGGTGTTATCGTTCAGCGTGTAGGTCTCTTCGACGAGGTGTTTCATTTTGATGAACCACTCTTTGTTCTCATCTGCAAAATATTGATAGATGATTGCTCTGCTGTAGACACAGCGAACTGGAAATTACTTGGTGCCTTCCTAAAGTCATACGGAGCTCCCCGTATCGAAAGATCCCGTTTGTAGCCATTATGTACGAGTGCATTGCCGATGTTCACGAAGTATGCTCCCACAGAGGCATGGGATGGGTCGATCCACTCGACGGTTTCCGATGTGCCGAATCCGGGTATGCGAATCTCGACGCCGGGAGAATTTTGCGTTTTCCTCGTTGTGCGGTTGTATATCAGCCGAATGTTATCGATCCAACAGTCAATAACGAACGGCACCAGCAGTTCCTTGTTCAGCCACAGATTGAAGTAGGTGTCGCTTGATTTTTGACAGAAGAAATGTATGGAATCTTTCTTGTTGATTATTGCATCGATCTGGCTGCCTCCGTCTCCGGGAACTATGGTGAAAAATTAAGTGTTGTTGGGTTGAGATTAAATCATGCAATTCAATATTATGAGTTTATTTAAAAAAAAAAGTCAGTTACCCCCAGAAACTGTCTTTACGACTTTGGCCACCCTCTTATCTGTCCAATTACTCTGGTTAAAACCTTAAGGTGAATTTCTATATTGCTAACCTTGACATTACTTTACTTGATTACATATCCGCGCAATCTTACCTTTAAACAGACAACAATGTCAAAAGTTGAATCACCACTAGGAAGTTCGCGAAACAACATATTTGTTCTGAACCATACTGAGTTCACTTGCCTCCAACATACGCAAAAAAGGAGGCCAATCGCAGTCGTGCAAAAGTCGGCTGATCTGCTACGGTTTATCAGCTTGTTTTAAAATAAGAACGCTTCGTTGACAGTTTGTTTTGGCATTGTAGCCGGTCGTCACTAGCACAGCAGTACAGCTGCAGATCGGTACACACGACGGCTATTTGTTATTGCTAACTATGTGTCGCAAAATATAGTATAGTAAGAGGCAAACAACAAGATTAGTCGCTTTCTTAATCCTATGGATGGTGAAGATCGCAAAACATAGAATTACTACGCCTATGCTTCTTAAATTTGACGCAATTTCAGAATGCGATAAAGTAGAATAAATTTCGTTAATTCCAAAATAGAAATATTGCAAAGCATACAGTTGTCAAAAAAAGAAATTCCAAGTTACATTTTCTATTCAAAGATTGTATCCTATCATCGATCGATAAGTCAAAACAATGACAAGGTCATAGCATATTTTTAGTATGTATTTAGGACATCACGGAAACTTACCAAAGATTACCGGCGACAATCTCTTCTCAAATCTTTCATCGTATCTGCGGCGAAGTTTCTTGTGTAAATCCTTAATAAAATTGACTCCTGCGCCAAACATGGTTCCATAGGCAGCGGTAGCCACCATCAGCAGCAGGAAAACCGCAATTAATCTCATTTTAATTTGCACTACTATCAACACTCTCACCCAATCGATCGATCTCAATTTGACACAAATAATGCACACGCGAGTCTATAATATTGACATCCACACCGACCGACCACCAGAAACCGACTGAGCTGTGAATGATGGCAATCACCGCATTATTTGCGCGACACGGACTTGTGTCCTGTGCTTTTGTTTTGCGAAGATTAAAAACTTTATACCTACACTGGACCAGCCGGAAGATCACTCATACAAAGGGAATCAATTGATTGATAACAGCCGAAATAAAAGGTCATTCGCAAAAGTATGAATGACTGATTCGCTCGCTGCTGATAAAAAGAAGATGCTTTCGCTGCTGTTTGTTTACCTAACCGAGTACCGTTGCTTTACGCTATTTACTGTCAATTCAATTGTAGCGGTACCCCGTAACGAGGGAGTGAGGCTTTGATGTTCTTTCTGCGCGACGCGAATGTAATAAGTACCCCCTGTGACTGAACTCCTAACCAAAAACTAGGGTGCACTAAGGCTGTATTCCATTTAGTGAATTTTCACTTAAATTTCACAGATGGAAAATTTGCAAATAAACCTGCCATTCTACCAGACTTATTTCTGACAGTCCAGGAATTTTGACAAATACCTTCTCGAAAATCTGCTGTTGGGATTTTCGAACAATATAATTTACTTTCGAAATGTCAAATTTAAGAGAAAGTCGAGGTTAAAATTCACCAAATGGAACACAGCCTACACGGTAACCGAAAATACCCAATAATGACTATAAATAACTCAATATTGACTACAAAGTAAGCATTTTCGAGGGAAACTGGGACTATCCATTATATGAGTAAAAAAAAAACCCAATTATGAGCATTTCCCTAATAGATATTGTGGTTCCCGAGAAATTCTAGCAAAAGCTTGATTTGCTCAGCTGTCACTCTTTTGTGCGCAAGGGTATGTGACTGATAGTTGACTCGAACGAAATCTTATATTGCTTCAAAAATTGTCTTTAAATATTGACGTTACCCTTCTTAAAGCTTCAACTCGTTATTACCTATATGTATTTCGGGCCAGTGAATCATAATTTCACATAAAACAGTTGCAAATCAACAAATAAAAAAAATTACTTGCAATCGTACATTTTTTTTTCCTTGTCGGGTATTTTCATCACTGCGACCATTTTTCTGATCTATTGTGATATATTCCCCATTTTTTTTCTTTAGCTATATCAAGATGCCGTATCACTATTATTAGGAGTGATCGCCATCGTTTGACTAACAGCATTATCCCAGCACGGCATTATACTTCGAATAAAGTGCACTGCCGTACTGGGAGTTGTTCTCCAAATGTCAAAGGGTTCTATCAGCCCCTTGTCGAAGAACTTACGCCTTTTATTGAAAATTGCCGGACAGTGGCATAGCAAATGTTCCGAGTCTTCCTTTTCTATGCCACAGAAGCGACACACATCATCTTGAAGTTTTCCAATCAGCTTCAAGTGATAACGGCTCGGACTATGACCTGTTATAAGACCTGCATATATACTAAGATCTTTCTTAGAAAGTTCCAGGATTTTGTGGGTCACAGAAATGTTTGGATTAATAAATCGCTTCGACTGCCTAGCAATGGAAGTGTTCTTCCAGTTTTCCTCCACTTTTGAAGATTCCCACGCTTTTAGCTCCATTCTAAGAGATGCAGCCGATAAGCCACAAAAGGGCTCTGGCCCGATGAACTTATGAGAAGATCCGAGTCTTGCTAGTGCATCAGCTCTTTCATTTCCCTCAATCCCGCAATGACCAGGAACCCAATATAAGTTGACTTGATTATGACAAGACAATTTTTGAAGTGATTGAACACACTCCCAGACAAGTTTTGATGTACATGTCGCCGACTTTAAAGCATTTAGAGCAGCTTGACTGTCGGACATGACGCATATATTTGAACTCGTATAGTTTCTACGCAAACATATAACGGAACACTCTAAAATTGCTTGGATTTCAGCTTGGAACACAGTTGGCCATCTGCCCATAGGAACCGATATTTCTATCCCTGGGCCAGTTACTCCTGCTCCCACTTGATTGTTCAATCTTGAACCATCTGTATAAAAAACAATCGATCCTGGACGAAGAACCGGGCCACCAAATTTCCATGAATTACGCCCAGGGTCAACTACTCGAAAAAGTCGATTGAAGTTGTATCTTTTCTCCATCCAGTCTTCGTTGTTCCTTACTAGAGAGTTGATACTAACAGTTTTTAGAATCGTAAGATGTCCTCTAAGGTCTCCTTCAAAGAGTTTCACTGACCTTGTAATCCTTAGAGCACACTTTTCGGCTTCTAATTGTACAAATTGATGCAATGGTAGCATATAAAGCAAAGCATCCAATGCCTTCGATGGTGTACTTCTCATTGCACCTGTTATTGAGAGAGTTGCTAACCTTTGGAGTTTTTCTAACTTTCTCTGAACAACACTCTCTTTTGTTTTTGGCCACCAGACCAATGCACCATAAGTAATCCTGGGTTTCACAATTGCTGAGTAAATCCAATGGATCATTTTCGGTTTCAGTCCCCACTGTTTACCGAATGTTCTTTTGCATATCCATAGAGCATTAGTAGCTTTGTTTATTGCCTGCTCTAGGTGCATATTCCAATTAAGTTTACTATCAAGGATTACTCCAAGATATTTGACAGCATTAGAAAGTTCCAAAAGTGTGCCTTTCAATCTTATGTTGTCTAATGAAAATTTCTTCCTTCGGGTAAATGGCACGATAGTAGGCCGAAACCGTGAATACTGCCGAAATGAGCACGGCAAAAGTGAAGCTAGTTCCATTGGTAGTGAAAAATGCCCATCTTAATGTGCTCATTGCGGATCTAGCGACGCTGGGTGTTAAAGCCGAATACAAGTTGGGCAGAGTCACCTGAGGACTTCCAAGGTGGAATTCTTTACCCACGACATTCCCGGTGAGAAGCCGTTCAAGGTCGTCATCAGGGGCCTACCAAACTTCGACCCGAAGTTTATCGAATCAGAAATCAGGGACCGGTACAAGCTGGCCCCAAGTGCCGTGTATCGAATGACAAGAAGAGACGAGAATGTGAAGGCGTATCCGGATAGCCTTTTCCTGGTACACTTCCAGAAGGGAACGGTGACGCTCAACGCACTGAAAGCCATCCGGTCCATCAATTCCATCATCGTTCGCTGGGAGCCATACCGTGGCGGCCATCGCGATGTGACTCAGTGCCAGCGGTGTCTGAACTTCGGACACGGTACCCGCAACTGCAACATTAAGCCACGCTGCGGAAATTGCGCTCAAGACCATGCCACCTCCGAATGTGCTGCGGATGAAGCTGTGGCGTCCAAATGCGCCAACTGTGGTGGTGCTCACCAAGGATCCAACAAGCAGTGCCCTAAACGCGAGGATTTCAAGCGCATCCGAAATCAAGCGTCCACCAACAATCAACCAGCACGAAGGAAGGATAAGGCCCCGGCTTTCAGGACAGAGGACTTTCCACCTCTTCGTGGACAAGCGAATCCCAGGGTGCGATCCGCGCCCCCTCAAGAAACGTCTGGATCTTCTGCTGGACAAAGCTCTCCATCCCCCCCTGGATTCTGGAGGCAACCAACAGCTCAAACAAACAATCCCGATCTGTTCTCAGCAGACGAACTGATGGAGATTTTTATCAACATGACCGGTGCTCTACGTAAGTGCCGCAATAAGCCCGAACAGATCCAAGTGCTCGGTAAGTTCATCATCCAATATGGTGTCTAAACCGCTAACCATCGCTACCTGGAACGCTTGCTCTGTAAGAGCTAAACAGATTGAGCTTGCCGACTTCCTCCGCAAGCATAGCATCGACGTGGGTCTTCTAACCGAAACCCACCTAAAGTTCGGTGACAGCTTCTGGTTGCCTGACCACAACATTATCCGGCTTGATCGCACCAGCTCCAGGGGGGGTGGTGTAGCGGTCATCGTCAGAAAGGGAATCAAGTTTTGCACTCTGCCCCACATCCGCACTTCTATCATCGAGGTCATTAGTGTCGAGGTGGAATCACCAACTGGAAACGTCCGGTTCATCGCTGTTTACTGCCCACGCCAGTGTACCGCAAGCAACGGATTAGGAATCCAATTCAAGAAGGACCTGACCGCCATCACCCGTACTAGCTCCCGATTCATCGTTGGGGGCGACCTGAACGCCCGCCATGAAGCTTGGCGGAACTACCAGAGGAATCGAAACGGATGTCTATTGTTCGACCACGCACAACATGGACTGTACACAGTGCAATTTCCGGACGAGCCAACTTTCATCTCTCCAGCGGGAAATCCCTCCACGCTAGACTTTTTCCTGTCAAACATCGGACTAGCCAAGCCGGAGGCGCACAACGATCTCAGCTCCGACCACCAACCGGTGGTGACTGAAGTCGGTGTCAACGTGGTTCCTGCTAGAGGCTGCCTGCGTAAAGACTACCACCATGTCAACTGGGTGCAGTACGGTCGAATGGTGGACAGCAACATCGATGAAAATCCACTACTCGACACCGTAGATGACATCGACCGGGCGTTGGAGGGACTCCAACAGGCCATATCCGAGGCTGACGAGACATGCGTTCGACAAGTTCCTGTGAGGGGTAAGTTTGTTGCTATTGATTTCTACACCCAATTATTGATTCGATTGAGAAATGTGCGTAGACGCCAGTTTCAGAGGACTGGAGACCTGGGCAAAAAACGTGAAATGGCCGATCTGAACAGGCAGATTGCTTCCAGAATGGACTCACTCCGAAATGAAAGTTTCGGGCGTGTTCTCCAGAATCTGGACGACCGCTCCAGACCATTCTGGAAGGTAGCCAAGGTCCTGAAAAATCATCCCAAACCCGTTCCACCTCTCAAAGTCGAAAATGATGACGATCGGCTTTTAATTACCCCACAGGAGAAAGCAAATGCGATCGGCGAGCATGTCGCTTCATCGCATTTGCTTGGCTCGACTATCCAAAGTCCGCTCGATGATCAGGTTGCGCAATGCGTTCAAAACCTAGATGCCTCCCCTTGTGTCGTGCCTCCGGCGGATATGATTACAGTACAACAAATTTGCTCAGCGCTGAAATGCACCAAGAACATG